TGCGCTGCATTCCTCAGCCGCCCTGAAAGAAACTGAGTGTGGACTGTGCCGGGAGCAGCTGAGTGCTACTGCAGAGCCACTGCTGTGTGCTGGGGAATAAGGATCGAGTGATGACCCAAACAGACACAGCCCGTGTCCTCGTGGAGATTAAAAGCAACTAAGTGATTATACGAATCATGGGCCAAGGCAGGGTGTGCTATAGAAGCACATGGCAGGTTCCTCACCTTCCGGATGGTTCAGGAAGACTTTCTGAAGGGTGAGCAGGATTGTCTAGACATTCAAGAGGGGGATGGAGAAGGAGCATCTCAGGCAGAGGGTATACTGCGGATAAAAGCCCCGGAGAAGTACAGGGGAGTGGGGTATTCACGGAGGGAAAGAAAAGTGGTGTTTTGTGAGACCCAGAGGGGGAAGGAAGCGGTAGTGGAGATGGGGCTGCAAGGCAGGAAGGGGCTGGATCATGGGGGGCAAAGAAAAGGACGAAGAGGGACCTGCAGGGAGGAGGAGAACGGGAGTGTCGGTGGACCGGCTGGAATGGGAGGTGGGAGGACTCCCGGAGAAAGGGATCCCTAGTCATCTCTGAGACGTTCTTAGACAGTAACTCCTGGAGCAGAAGCCTCTTCTGCCTTACCTGGTTGCCTTCCAGTGTCAGTGGCAGCAAATGCTTGTGGGTTTGGGGCTCCCTCCCATGGGTGTTCCTCTTGGCCTCAAGCCTAATCTGTGACAGGCATCTGTCTGGTCCCTCAGCCCAGCCTTGGATGGTTTGAGATGACACCAGACTGTGGTGGTGTCCTAGGTGGTCAGCATCTCCGAAGCAGGATGAGTGGGATCCACAGTGAGGGCTGAGCCGCAGCTCAGCCAGGCAGGGCCTGAGTCCTCTGAAGCTGTCCACACCTGCCCACCATTCCCATCTTGCCCTCACAGGCTGGAGTTACAAGGATCTAGAACACCTTGCTGGTGGCCAACTCAGCCCTTCCATGTGTGTAGTCACTCCCAGGACCCCCTCAGCAAGTCATCCATTTGCCTCCTACTCATTTCTTCCTTTCTTCCATTCCAGCCAATGGTTATTGAGTGTTTTTGACTCTCTGGCACTTGCGCATAGTAGGCACCTTCATTGGCTCATGCTCCATCCTTGGCTCAGGAAATCCCAGAGCTGGTAATATTATGTTTAATGGGTCAGGGTACAGGCTCCAATATCAGACTATCGGAGTTCAAATTTTCTAACCATCTCAGAGAGTTGGGGGAAATCACTTTTGCTCCTCAGTTTCCTCATCTGTAAAACAGAGAGCAATCATACCTATAGCATAGGCTTTTGGCAGATTAAATGAGAGCATCTGCCCTGGCCAGTTTGGCTCAGCGGTTAGAGCATCGGCCTGCGGACCAAAGAGTCCTGGGTTCGATTCTGGCCAAGAGCACATACCTTGGTTATGGTTTGTCCCTGGCCCCCGTTGGGGATGTGCAGTTGGCAACCAATCGATGTGTCTCTCTCACATCGATGTTTCTCTCTCTCTCCCTCCCACTCTGTCTGAAGATAAATGTAAAAAAAAAAAAAAAATGGAGAGAGAGAGAGAGAGAGCATCCCTGTATAATAAGGCTTTGGGCGTAGTAAGTGGTTAATATTAGTTGCTACTGTTTAAACATATCAGCTGCTCATTTTGCAAACAGAAAACTATTAGGAAGGAATCTTTGGTGTTTTTCACTGAGAAAGTAACACAACATTACAGATATCTACCTAACAGCAACTATTTTTACTTTTTCTATTCACTTCCAGAATTTATTGTGAGATCGTAATAACAAATCCAGAAGTCCATGTGCGTTATGCTCTCTTTCTTTTCATGGGCTTCTGTCAACCTGCTATATATAGACTCAGGAAATGACGTGCTGCTGTGATCCACCCCCACACCCAGCCCAGAGGTGAGAACCCTGGATGTACGTTCCGTTCCATCCCTCTGTCTTGTGCATCTCGGAACCTGTTTCATCTCATCTGTTAAGTGGAGATAATAATACCCTCTGTGGGTTATGGGAAGTAGTGGGAACATGGGCAAAGTGCCCGACACATAATAGAGGATTAGTAAATGCTAGTTCCCTGCCCCTCCCTCTGATTTAGTGTGGGGTTCAGAGTGGGAGGTGCCAAGGGGTTGTTGCCACCAGGCTGGCCCAAACCCACTGCCCGCCTTCCCACAGGAAGACACTCACCTGCTGAGGTGACAGGGACTCTGCTCTGCCTAAAGACCAGGGTCAACGGGACTCTCTGACACTGGTACAGAAAAGGAGGGGCTGGGCCAGCTTCCCAGAGCTGCCCAGTCAGCTGGCCCATTGGAGGGGAGCTGGGACTGGGAGAAGGCAAGGGAAACCCTTCCTGAGAGCCGTGGGGGCTCCTTTGTCTGTGGTCAGGGTGGGCTGACAGCTGATCGGGAGAGACCGGGATGTGTGGGTGGGCGAGCTGAGACTGCAGAGTTCAGAAAGCAGATGGAATGAGCCAACTCTAATGAGAGAGAAGCCTCCATGGCAAAAGGGGGCTCATTAAAGCAGGCTGGGGGGAGCAACCTGGCTGAGTAACCCCAATCCCCTTCCTGTCCCTCCACAAAGGGCCTTTCTCAAATGCCAGGAGAGTCCTCTGTTAATCATGACTAATTGTTTAAGTTGTAGGACACTTTGCAAAGCACGGCCTTCTTCTCCGTCCGTTTTCTAATTTGTCTGGCGAAGAGGAAAGGGAGGAGATATGCCTACTTGACAGATGGGAAAGCTGAGGCCAGGGGCTGAGAAACGGGCTGGGGTGTGGAGCCGGGCTGCCCAGGGCCGGGGACCTGGCGAGTGATGCGATCACTCCGACAAGTTAGAACTTTCTTCATTAAATTTTTTTTTTTAATGCAAGTATTATCCGGCCCTATTCCTTTTCAAGGTTTGCCGCTTCCTTTCTGGCCGGGGACCTGAAGCCAGTGGGAGCAGGCTCCCGGGAACAGGGACGCACCCAGGCCCCTGCAGGCGGAGGGATCTCCTGGCGGCCCTGCTGCAGCAGGATGTTCAGAGCTGCTTGTAAATAGGTGACTAATTGAGGTTACAAAACCATGCTGTCTGGACATCAGCTGTCAGCAGTAGGATTAGGGGCCTCTGGTCCGTTTAGTTTGTAGCTAAGAGTTTATACCAATAAACAGTGTGAACTGGGCCCGAAGAAGCCCCCACTACCTACCTGAGCCTTAGTGTCCTCATCGTAAAGGGAGGATCTTGTTCCACAAACGCCCATCTGCCATCACAGTCCCTTTCACTTGACTTTCTGTGTGCAGGTTGCAGCAAACATTTCTTGAATTCCTGGAAACCAGCCTGGCTCTGCTATTACCAAGTGGTGGCCCTCGGCCTGTCACTTAACCCTTGTGGGTCATGGTTTCCTCGTGTATAAAATGAAGGTGCGGGGGGTGGGGGCAGATCTAAGATTCTTTGTAAAAGCTGCCCACCAGGGGTGGGCCTAGAAGACTGGGAGGAGAGGGGCTGGCCTGGGTGCTTCTGAATGAGAAGACTGGGCAGATGCGCAGGGGCCACCGAGGCAGGGAAATGAGGCAGGGGAGAGGGTCTGGAAAGGCTGGGTCAGGAGTTGGGGGTGGTGCGTAGGGTATCAGGGTGTCCTCTCAGGCTTTCGTGCCTGGCCAGCTCTCTGCTGAGCAGACGGGTCTGAGGCATGAGAGGAGGAGAGGAACTCCCCTCTGGACCTTGCTGTGGAGCACAGCCAGGCCGGCATGGGCTTAAAACTAAGCTCTTGGGGCAAACAGTATCTTTGCTATCGGGTTTGGATCCTAGCACGGAGGAGAGGCGGGGTCCATGGGCGGCCAGTTGTGTCCAGAGCTGCTGCGTTATCTCGGGGCAGGGCAGTTAAGGGGGGTGTGGGGTGGGGGAGACAGGCAGGGCTGCAGATAATGGCCAAACTGTGTTCATTCTGGCTGGCTGGTTTTTTCCCCCACCAGGATCACTGCCTTTCTTTGAGCAAGTACCCCGGAGCCACCTCCAGTTCAGCTACTTTGAGAGACCTAGAAAAGGATTCATTTTTTCTCTGACCAGGGTGAGGCTGGAGGGGACTTGTGGCTATGGTTTTCTGGCAAATAATGGGACCTGCATTTCAGTTCTTGCAACTCACTTTGGCAAACTCAATCACCCCACTCCCCCATGACTCAGTGTCTCCACCTTTACAAGTGGTCTCCTTTGGCCACCTCGTTCATTCTGGCTTCTGGGGGTATCACGAGGCTACATGAGGTCATGTATGTCACAGAGTGTGGATTCGTAGAGAAAATATGCAGGCTTGAGGTTCAAGACAAGCCCGATGGTGTTATTACTCATTAGATCCCGGCCTCCATGCTGATCCCAAGCGGGACATGGTTAGCCAGGCTCAGACGAAGCAAGAAGCCAAGTGCACTTCCTTTTTTGCTGGTGCAACCTCAGAAGCCTGGGTCTCAGCCCTCAGAGTTGGCTGATACTCCTTGCTCAGCAGCCAGGGTGGTGGTGAGGGTGTTGGTTTCTGCAAAGGGGCCCCTGAGTCCCCTTGGGAAATAACACATGGCTATAATCAGCCCCACAGGCCATCACCAGGTGAAAAATGTGACCGTGGGGCCTTTGCCCTGACAGTTCGGCACCCTCTGCTGTGTGAGGATACGAGGTGGGGGAGCTGGAGACCAGTGTCCTAACCCTAGAGTCGAGAGGCAGATCCCAGTTCTGCTGCACATCAACCATGTGACCTCTGTCATGAAGAGAGGCTCTCTATGCCTCAGTTTCCATATCTGTGAAACCAACACCACAATAAGAATACATGCCTTGTGGGGTTGTTGCAAGAACTAAGCATGGTCTAGAATGTTAATGGTCCCAGTGGGACGCTTGGCATATCAAAAATGCTCAATAAATGTTATAGAAGGGAGAGAAGATAGAGGGTGAGGTTAAGATAAGCAGACAGAGAGCACGCCCAGCGACCTTTCCCAGCCTTGGGGTGCCGCGAGCTGAAAATAGCTGGGGGTGGAAGTCCAGCATCGGCCCAACGACATGGCTGAAGACATCAGTCCAGGGGTGTCTGCCCCAGGGAACAGCATTCTTTAGATACATTCATTTGGATTAAGGGAACAGAGGTTACAGACTAGGAGCAAATTCTTCCTCCCACTAGAGTCCACAAACAGTTCAGCTCTTGAATGTCTAGAGCCCAAGGGCCTTTGGAGGTAGGTGTGGGGAGAGAGGGCAGGTTCTATGGTCAGAGCCCAAGGCTGGGCAGGGAGGGAGACTTCTGTTCTGGAAGCTGCCCGTTACATCACCTGGAACAAATTTCTAAACCAGCCAAACTTGGGCAAAGGGGAGGCTACAAACACCAGGTCTTGCTGCTTCTGGGCTGTGTGTCCTTGAGCATGTCATTTGACCTCTCAGAGCCACAGTGATGGGGATCACAATCAAACCTCCTCGGATTATTGTGCGGATAGAAAGACAGCACCATTGGCACCATTGGCACGGGCAAGTGAACGGAAGGGGTGGTTGTGAGGAGCAACCTACACTCCCGTCAAGGGGCAGGGCTGGCCGGGCCTGGGTGAGCAGGGGGCGGTTCTAGGCACTCCATCCCGTACCAGGCTGAACAAAGAGGGAGGTTCTCGGGTAAACACTCCAATAACTTTTTGGTGCCACCTTAAAAGCAACCGGTTAGGAGTCTCAGTTCATCTGTAAATTGAGCAAATCCTACCGCCTTCCTAACAGAAGGGACAAATAAGAATTAATTAGTAAACGTGGCTGTCAAACTGTGGTCAGTGTTATTATTAACTTAATGTGTTTGTTTAAAAGGGGAGGCAGCTTGCTCCAGTCTAGGCATGTGAGCTGCCAGCCGGCCAGGTTTGACGGGAAAGTCTGTCGATTGTTTCCACATGGGAGTTTTCAGCACGAGTAATTCGTTGCAGTGGTGGAAGGCCTTGGAGGCCAGGGATGCGGGCTCTGATGGTGGAGTCTGCAGCCTTTCATATGAAACGCAGAGGTGGTCCCTGAGGGCAGGAATTATTGTGCTAGGGACGCGGCACCCCAGGGGCTGAGGCGCCACATTCTGAAGCTAGCAGGCAGGGTGACCAAGGGGGAGGTGTCTGTATGGAGTGGGGGGAGGAGTAGGACCAGATGGGTGCTGAAAGACTGGTTTGCAATGAACAACTTGATCCTTCCAAAATGTGCTCGGGTGTGAGGGTCAGCAGCTCGCATCTTTATTCTGAATGTCACTTTAGCTGACTCTGTGGCTTCGGCTTCCCTCACTGCGCTTTCTGTGTGATAGGTTCCCACCCCTCTTAGTCCTCTCTTCCAAGGTGGTTTAGGGTCGTGGCTAAAAGCTTGGACTCTGGAGCCAGATTGCTTGGATTAAATATTGGCTCTACCATGTATTAGCTATGCGACTTTGGCCAGTTACTTAGCCTCTCTGTGTCTCAGTTTCCTTATCTGTAGAATGGGGGTGGTGATATCTATTAGGCTTGATTGTGGGGACTGAATACGTTCACATTGTGAAGTCCTTAGACCCATGCCTAGCACATGCTACAGGCTCTGGGAAGGCTAACTGAGCAAATGAATGAGTCCTCGTTGCGCTAATCGGTGGCACAGTGGGCTGCTTGAGGTTGCCCATATCTCTGTGTCATTTCCTCTCCCCGGAGCCGTTTCAACACACAGTCTGAAAACAATATGCCTGCCATGCGTTTGACATTCTGTTTTGTGGCTCTTTCTGACCCCCTTGGCCGCTCATCAGCTGCCCTGAGCTCACTGTGGCTCTATGAACAATTTTCCTCCCAGGAATCCCCCAGTCCTGCCGGTTGCTGGGTTCTTGATGTTTGAAAGGTGATTCCTATTCATCAGGGAGGGTGGGCCCAGCTTCTGTGACACCCATATCGCTGTGTACCTCCTTCAAGTGTTGGTCATCGCCTTGAATTGAAGAGAGCACTGCTCCGTGGCACGTGGGATGGCTGTGTTGGGGGCGCGGTGTCCGTGCTGAGTTCTGGTTTGTACCTGGAACCCTGGAAGTGCCCGTGGTTATCTGCTGCCCTGGTTTCCCGTGGGATATTTTTCCATTTTTTGTCCAGATAGAGTGGGAGGGAGAGAGAGGAAGGGAGAGAGAGAGAGAGAAACATCGACGTGAAGGGACACATCGAGTGGCTGCCACCCGCACAACCAACCAGGGCTGGGGACAAACTGCAACCGAGGTACGTGCCCTTAGCGGGAACCGAACCCGGGTCTCTCCGGACCGCAGGCCGACGCTCTAACCGCTGAGCCAAACTGGCCAGGGCAGCCAGAGTCTTTTATGCATCAATAAAGGGCATTTTATTGACTGCTCACTTCTTGCCTACTTTATTGTGACTCAACTCAATATTTTGGGTAATAAAGATAGAACTCTGCTGAAAAGAGAACTGGAAAACAAAAGCTCGTGTGAACCAGGAGTGTAGATGAGTAAATGCCCACTGGCTTTTCCCGGCAACCTGAGCAGACGGCAGGCGTACAGGCGTGTGCAGGTGTGTTGTGTGTTTATCAGGCATCTTTAAAGGTTTACATCTTCGACCAAATGATATCACCTTTGAGAAACCATCCTGAGGAAATGTTATAGAAGTCGCCAAATGCTTTACGCACAAAGATGTTCTTTATGCAGTTATTTGTAAAAGCAAAAATTGCCAACAACTGAAACGTCCATCATTTGGGGTAAGGTGACGTATAACTATGGTTATACCAATTTCAGTGGTTTTAAAAATGTTTTGGAACTTTATGGGTTGCTTGAGAAGCTTATTAAGACGAGAATTGCCAGCCTCCACTCCTAGAGATTGATATAATGGTTCTGGGATGAGATCCAGAAATCTGCACTTTTAACACACGCCATATAATTCTGAGGCAGATGTCCTGCAGTGCACATTTGAGAAAGCCGATCAGCTTGCTGGGATACTTTGCAGTCATTTGAAATGATGTTTACAGAGAGATTATAACAACACGGAGGAATGCTTTATAAATAAAAAAAAAATAAGATTGTATATGTAATTCTGTATCCATTTATGAAACATGACCGTGTAAAACAAAGCAGCAAAATGCAAAAAAGTAAACTAAGTGTCAGGGTGGTAGGGTTATGGGGATTCCCCCCCCCCCCATATTTTCCAAAAATTCTAAGTGTATATTTTTATCATATCCTGCTCCCTCTTTGGAACAAATAAAAGGGGCTTCCTGTTTTCTGGGATTCGTATGCTGAGGGGTTTCGCTTTATCTGTGAGCAGACTGAGGACCCTGAAGCAAAGCAATGCTGGTTCTCCACCCTCAGCCGGGCCCAGGCCATTCTAGGAGGGGCTCTCACCACCGGGCTTTGCCTATAGACAGCCCGGAGACTTCTAGAGTTACCAGGGCACATTTGTCCTCCTCAGTCATTGTGAAGAAGTTCCACCTAAAGAATTCTCAGTCTGGAGAGGTCTCGGTGTGATCCCGGTCAGGGCACATGCCCAGGTTGTGGGCCAAATCCCCAATAGGGGGCATGCAGGAGGTGGCCAATTGATGTTTCTATCTCTCTCTCCCTTACCCTTTCTCTCTCTCTAAAATAAACAAAGGAAAAAAAGCTTTTTTAAAAAAAGCAAGCAAGCACCGCAGACTGGTGGCTTAACCAGTAGAGATGTACTGTCTTAGTTCTGTAGGCTGGAAGTCCGAGGTGCCGGTGCAGTTGGTTTGTTCCGAGGATCATGAGCGAAGGGTCTGTTCCAGGCTCCTCTCCTGGGCTTGTGGATGGTCATCTTCTCCCATTGTCCCCACATCATCTTCTTTCTGTACATGTTGGTGTCTAAATTCCCTCCTTTTATAAGGACAACGATCCAATTAGATTAGGACCCACCCCAGTGACCTTATTTTAATTTAATTACCTCTTTAAAGACCCTGTTTTCAAATATAGTTACATTCTGAAGTACTGGGCGTCAAGACTTCAACATATGAATTTGGGGGGAACACAGTGCAGCCCGTACCGATGCAGTACTAGGCAACAGTGGTAGAAGACAGAGCTGTACAAAGACACCTCATTTGAAGAGCAGGAATGGACTCCCAACACGTCATTTAACTGCTGGAATGTGTTAGCTTGCAAATGGAAAGTTAGGGGCAATGGGGCTGTTGCCACTGAGCCCTGACCAGGGAGAGCCTGCTCTGGGCCCAGAGTTGCTCCCTGTCTGGTCCTGGTGACAGGCGTGCACCTCTGCAGTGGAGACGAGCACATCTGCGTAACTAGCTTCTAACCTGATTCACTTGTGGCTCGCTACTTGCCAATCACATGACCAGGGGCTGGCTCAGAACTTCTCTAAGCCTCCGCTGTAGAAATGGAAATAAAAATTCCTGTCCTGCCCACCCTGCAGGCTATTGTGAGATAAGGTAATGAAGGCGCTGTGCAGATTGCACCGCTCTGTCCCCAGCGAGCACGCTCTCTCACCTGGCAGGGGAGCACGGTGCTCTCCCTGACAGCGCTGGGGTGGATCGTACTCCGGAGTGTGGAACATGAAACAGTGCTCAAGGAGGTGAGGTGGCCTTGGCTCTGGTCGTGGACTGTGTTGATAAAACACCAACAAATCCCATCTCCAAAGGCCTCTGTAATTCTATTTTTAAATCCTCACCCAATGATTGATATAAATTTTAGAGAGAGGAAGGAGAGAAAGAATGGGAGAGAGAAACATCAATTGGTTGCCTCTTGTTTTCACCCCAAACAGGAACCAAACCTACAAACTAGGTATGTGCCCTGACTGAGAATCGAAGTTGCACCTTTTGGTGTACAGAACATTGCTCCAACCAAATGAGCCACACCAGCCAGGGCTGTAATTCTTTAAAAAAATAAAACAACCTTATTATGAAAGTCACATAACTTTCTTGTAAGAAAATTTGTAACTCTGATACGGCAAAACAAGAAATAGGAGGCCCCCATTCTCTGCCTCACTACCTCCTTCTACCAGAGCCCCTCCCCCAAGTGACAAATATCATCTTGATATGTCCTATGTTTATAAAAAGATATATGTACAGCCCTGGCCGGTTTGGCTCAGCGGTTAGAGCGTCGGCCTGCGGTCCTGAGAGACCCGGGTTCGGTTCCCGCTAGGGGCGCGTACCTCGGTTGCAGTTTGTCCCCGGCCCTGGTTGGTCGTGCGGGTGGCAGCCGCTCGATGTGTTCCTTTCACATGGATGTTTCTCTCTCTCTCTCTGTTCCTCTCTCTCCTTCCCACTCTACCTGAACAAAAAAAATGGGAAAAATGTCCTCAGGTGAGGATTAAAAAAAAAGATATATGTACATAATTAAAAAAAACACGTACACAATTGGGTTTAAACTGTTTGAAAACTTGTGTCTCTAAATTAGTAATTGTAGACTTCTTTTCATATCATTTTGTGTATATGCATCTTAACATTATTATTTTTTGAATTTTTATTTATTAATTTGAGAGAGAGAGAGAGAAACATTGACTTGTTGTTCCACTCATCCATGCACTCACTGGTTGATTCTTTTTTTTTTTTAGTTCATTGATGTGAGAATGGGTTGGGTTGAGAAGATGATTGGAGGTAAATCAAGCTGCAGGGCTCAGTGTTGACCGCTCCTTACTGTGAGAGGGCGCACAGGCAGCCCTGACTAGAGGCGGGGCACAGTGCTGCCAGTTAGCACAAGAAAAATAAAATGGGATATTAATAGAGTCTCTTGCTTTGAATGATTTGAAAAATCATCATTGGTTGATTCTTGTATGTGCCCTGACTGGGGGACTGAGGATCAAACCCCTTGGCATACCGAGATGGTGCTCCAACCAAGCCACCTGGCCAGGGCTTAACATTTTATATATATATATATATATATATACACACACACACACACACACACACACATATGTTTTTAATTTATCTTTATTGTTGATTATACTACAGATGTCTCCTCTTTTTCCCCCCATTGACCTCCTCCTCCCCAATCCTGCCCCCTTTCCCCCTTTCTACCTTCTCCATACCATTGTCTATGTCCATTTGTTACGCATATATGAATAGAAGTTCTTTGGTTTATTGCACCCTCCCTCCCCACTTCCCTTTGAGGTTCGTCAGTCTAACCACAAATTTGTACCTCTTAATTCCTTCATCTTTTCACTCATCCCCCCAGCCTCCTCCCATCTGGCAAGCAACAAAAAAGTCTCTGTATCTATGAGTCTGTTTCTGTTCTGCTTGCTCCTTTTGTTTGTAGATTGCATTGTTGATAGATATGTATTCGTTGATGTTTTGTTTGTTCATATTTTTTATCTTTTTCTTCAAGAAGATCCTTCAACATTTCATATAATACTGGTTTGGTGATGATGAACACCTTTAGCTTTTTCTTGTCTGGGAAACTCTTCATATGTCCATCGACTCTAAATGATAGTTTTGCAGGATAGAGTAATCTTGGTTGTATGTCACTGCTTTTCATCACCTTGAATATCTCTTGCCCCTCCTTTCTGGCCTGCAAAGTTTCTTTTGAGAAATCAGCTGACAGTCTTATGGGAGCTCCTTTGTAGGTAACAAACTGCTTTTCTTTTTCTGCTTTTAAGATTCTCTCTTTGTGTTTAACCCTTTGCATTGTGATGATGATGTGTCTTGGTGTGGACCTCTTTGGGTTCATTTTGTTTGGGACTCTCTGTGTTTTCCGGACTTGTATGTCTGTTTCCTTCACCATGTTAGGGAAGTTTTCTGTCATTATTGTTTGAAATAGGTTTTCAATTTCTTGCTCTCTCTCTTCTCCTTCTGGCACCCTCATGATGCAAATGTTGGCACACTTGAAGTTGTCCCAGAGGCTCCTTACATTATCCTTATTTTTTGGTCTGAAGCTGTCCACTGGGTGTGCTGACTCTGGGGCAAGGTCAGCCACTGCCTATGTCCTACCCAGGGCCACCTGACATAAGCTACAGAGTAATATGCCGATGGCTGTTTCTTGTGTTGGGCTTAGAGGTGCCCAGAAAAAGCCAAGATGTAAACCAAGGCTGGCTGCTTCTAGTGCCAGGCCCAAGGCCACTTAATGAGAGGTATGGGGCTTGCTGATACCAGATGCTGCTTGTTTGAGAGATTTTAGGAAAATCTGAAGCAGGATCCAAGACAGGCTAGTCAGTCCTATGATAAAGCCACTGGGAACAGCTTGGGTGGGCCTGAAAGTTGGGTGGGGCAGGGCCTCAGGGAATCACCTGGGCAGGGCAAACAGTGTGAGCCAGGTTGCTGGAGTCCTAGATATAGAGGCCCTCTGCAGACCTGGGGAAGGGCTCACCAAAGGAACAAAGGCCTCTGCCAGCATGCCTGTCCAAAAGAAAGCTGCCTGTCCAGCCCTCATCCTGAGGCCAAACAGCTCAGTTCTTCCCTGTACGTCTCTGGTGCCTTTAAAGTTGCCTCCCCTCCGAGCTCAGAAGGAGCAAGTTCAAGTATATCTGTGTGCGAGCCCTTTAAGAGGAACTTCCTTGAACTCCAGCAGCCTCAGCCTCCCTCAGCCTCAGTTCCTGCTGGTTTTACAGCCCGAAGTTATGGGGACTCTCTTCCTGGCACTGAAACCCTGAGCTGGGGGTCTGGTATGGAACAGGGACCACTCACTCCTCAAGGAGGACCTTCCCAGCCTAGGTATCCTCCTGATTTTTATCTGCCACACGTGGGTGTGGGACCAGCCTGTCGCACCTCCGTGGGACCAGCCTGTCGCACCTCTGCCCCTCCTACCAGTCTCGATGTGGCTGCTTCTTTAATTTCGTAGTTGTAGGACTTCCATTCAGCTCGATGTCAAGCAGTTCTGAATGATGACTGTTCTGTAGTTTAGTTGTAATTTTAATGTGGTTGTGGACATTATATTTTTTAACTGCTGTATAGCATACCATAGAACAGATACATAAGACATTGTTTAACTATTCCTTCATTAATGGACATTTAGTTATTTCCAATTTTTAAAAATGTGATAAAAATGACTGCAGTGAATGTCTTTGCTTGTTTATCTCTGAGTACTTACGTGACTGGATCTCTATAGGAAAAAACTCTAGACATGACATAACTGAGTCCAAGGTCATATTTACACATTGAAAATTTTGATAGGTTTGTACATTGCTCTCTAAAAAATTGTGTCAATTTGTACGCCTTCCAACAATTTATGAGAATTCCTGTTTCCTCACACCCTTGCCCACCAATGGGTCTTACACCATTTTGCCATGTGTACTTTAAAGTGTTAAGGCTGAATATTATTTTGAGATTATGCTCTTTCAGGGTCTTCCTAGAGATAGTTAAAATCACAATCACAAGGCCTTTGGAGAACAACCATATGCAAGACCACAGGAAACTGTCAATAGATTTCCGAAGGACCCTCTGAGAACTGGGATTTTCTTTTTCTTTTTCTTTTTTAATCCTCACCCGAGGATATTTTTCCATTTATCTTCAGATAGAATAGGAGAGAGAGAGAAAGAGAGAGAGAGAGAAACATCAATGTGGGACACATCAATTGGTTGCCTCCTGCACGACTCGACCAGGGCTGGGGAACAAACCGCAACTGAGGTACGTGCTCTTGACTGGAATCGAACCTGCAACTCTTTGGTCCAAGGGCTGACGCTCTAACCACTGAACAAAACCGGCCAGGGCATGAGCACTGGGATTTTCTACCTGAACTCAGACTCATGGAGAAGCTGCACATCCTTTTTTCTTTTCATGTGAAGGGGAAAAAAGAAACAAAGATGAGTTTTACTATCCAACAAAACCCGTTGACCTTGAAACGGTTCTTTCTCTCTGATTATATCACAGCCTCATCAGTTTTTCCACTTCTCAAAATAGAGTTCATAAGAGGGCACCCCTATGAAATGCTTGCAGTCAATCAGCTCCTTATCAGTGGAAATGGTTTGGATGTAGCTGACCTTGTCTAAGTTCATTCACCCCTGATCTTGTGAGGACACAGCAGACACTGGCTGCTGCCTAACCCAGTACGCAGACCAAGGGCCCCTGTACCGGCAAGTCAGGGGCTTGCTGAGAAAAAAACAAGATGCGGCTTTAATAAAGTTTTCCAGGACATTGCTTTCGGAAACACGTACAGAGAAGCAATTTTGACTTCAGCATGCGTGCAAGTTTTCTGTTTAATGAGTCTATAGTGTTTTTATCTTGAATCCCATTGCAGATGATGCCATATGTTTAGCGCTTAGGACTTCTAAAGGTCTGAACTGGCCCCTCCTGTATCTTCCCCCACACCCAAGTCAGGGTAGATTAATTTTGTGCCGAGGCTCTGGAATTTTCCAGGCTTTCGTGGAGGCCCTGCTTGCTGGGATTCTAGAGATAGAGCTTCGTTTCAGTGATGCGTTTAGATACCGACATCACAGGGTGGCGGGGATTTCATCAGAAAGCAAGAGGAGGCACCGGCAGGGTGGCACTCAAGCGGCGTTAATTTCCTCCCCTCAAAAGTTCCTTCCATCTGAATCATGGGATTAACAGAGCAAGACTTGAAAGACTTTAAGGAGTCCTTTACTGCTTTACACCCAGGTTCTGGAGAAACAGACAGAGAGAGCAATGGAATCGGAATCTCAGCGTCGTCTTCGGCTGCGGCACAAACACGGGCCCGCGGGAGGTGCCTGTGAATACTTCTCCACTGAGTCGAGCTGAACAGAACCACGCTTGTATTTACCCAACCCAAGGTCAAGTGTGTGTAATTCATGATGGGGAGCAGCTTTGCTCCTTCCTGGAGCTTCTTAATTTCCACCCTTTTCATCACTGGCGGGAAACTTCTACTCCACGTTGGAGGGAGGGAAGTGAAAATGTGCATTTCTGCCAGGTACTAAGCACAGTGCCGAAGTTTACCTTTCCGACAGCAGAAGGAGTATTTCATAACTGAAGAGCGTCAACCGTGAAGAACTGGAGAGTTTCCACCATTTCTTCTCAGGGTTGCGCAGGTGACCAGGGGCACAGCTAGGATTCAACCCCAGGTCTGTGTTCATCCTACTTGCCACCTCCATGGAGTCAGCCTGGCCTGAGTAAATCCATTTCAGGCATGTCAGCTTATTATTGAGTTTCAGGTCTAAGGATAAACAGAATCTCTGGTTAACACACCTGCAGGTTAGCATGGGATTTGTTTGGCCACAGAGAGTCTGGTGGCTTAGACCCACCCACCACTGCTGTGGGATAGAGCCATGTCGTCCAGGGCACAGGAGCTGGGCACAGAGCGATAAAGAGGCCTCCATGGTGGGCATGGTGAAGTGAGTTTGCAGCCTCCTTCATGACCCAGGCTCTTCAGTGTGTCCTGATCAAGATCCTTCCAAGGCCCCTTTCTTAGGAGAGGTCCACCTTCTTATTTATTTATTTTTAAAAAAAAATATTTTTTCTTTATTGATTTTAGAGAGAGGAAAGGAGAGAGAGAGAGAGAGACATCAATGAGAGAGAACATCGATTGGCTGCCTCCTGCATGCCCCCCACTGGAAATTGGGCCCACAACCCAGGTATGTGCCCTGACCAGGATCGAACAAGCGACCTCTTGGTGCATGGGTTGATGCTCAGCCACTGAGCCACACTGGCTGGGCAGAGGTCCACCTTCTTAATTAGGTTCCATAGGGCTGCAGTGGTCACTTAGAATCCATTTATTCATTCATATGTTCGGTCTTTCATTCATTCACCCAGTGACTCTTCACTGAGGCACCCCCTTTTCTGCCCCGGATCACTCTGGGTGCTGGGGATAGAGCAGAAATGAAGAAACTCACTGTCCTTGCTCTTCAGGGGCTAACCAGGTAGTAGTTGGCAGTCAACAGTCACAGAAGTCATGCACTGATCAAAATTGTGTAAGGGTGACAAGGAGAAGAAGCTGCACAGAAATCTAGAAGTGACATTTACACTCAGACCCAAAGGGTGAACTGAAGTTAGCCAGGTGAACAGGTGGGAAGAGCACTCACTGAAGAAACCTACCCGGCACGTTTTAGTGCTGTGCACATACTAACTCACCTGCTCTCACAACAGCCCTGTGCACAGGGTACCTTGACAGATGAGAAGACTCAGGCATAGAGGGTAAATGACTTGTCCAGGGTGCCCCAGCGAGGAAAGGTCAGGGCCAGGGTACAACCTCGTCAGCACATGAATGGGCTAGAGGGGATGTGAGGGGAGTGCCCTGGGAGTGGGCACAGGCCAGAGAATGAGAAGCCCTAGGGTGGAGACTGCGTCTAATGGACGGAAAACAGCAGCCCGGGGGGGAGAATCAGAGACGGGTGGTGGGAGACACGGAAGGAAGTATTTCTAGAAGGAAGGAGCGATCAACTGGCCAAATGCTGCTGAGAGGTTGGGGAGGACGACTGAGAGCTGCCCAGTAGGTGCTGTCGTGACCCTTGGCAAGACTGGTCTCAGGGGCATGGCGGGGAGCAAAGCCCAACTGTAAGGGGTCAAGAAAATATAGGAGGAGAGGCAGTAGTGACTGTGAAAATCAATCATTTTTCTGAGGAATTTTATTCTAAAAGGGAGAAGAAAAAGAGGGTGTTAGCTAAAGAGTGACCAGTTCCAAAGGGTATTTTTTTCTTTTTCTTTTGCGATGGGAGGTGGTAAAACATGGATGGGAATGCTTCAGCAGAGGAAAAACTCCTGGGTAGAGAGGACACATCCAGCACAGAGTGGTGCCCTGGGCAGCACGAGGGCATGGAGTCCAGGGGGACTGGAGAGCTAGTTTTAGACGGGGCACCTCAGGGGCCCCTGCAGGGGCCACGGCAGATCGGCTGACGGCCACCACCCTGTGAGGCCTCCCCAGAGTCCCTGCGCAGCATCCCTCTGGGGCAGTGTGGTTTGATTCCTCCCTGTACTCACTGTGATCATAGCAGAGCCACTGAGAAGCAGGCAACATTCCTCTCCCATGGTGCGAGGGCTGAGGGGCATCTCTGGGCATTTTTCTGGCGTCCGGGCTTTGCTGACGGTGCAGGCTGCGGAGAGGAGCTGAGCGGCAGGTGGGGCCGGCAGCCCATGCGCTCCTTGTGGAGGGGGAGCTGAGTGAGCAGGAGCCGGTTAGCTGCACCCGAAGGGGAGTTATCTCAAAGGCTTGTGCGACCCTTGCTTTTCAGGGTCTTGGGGGTCCCGCTGTCATATCACAGACTCAAGGGACACATAATATTGGTTCAATGGACAACCAAGATGGCCACAAACCGAATTCCAGCAAGTTCACTTAAACATACCTCAGAGCTTCGAATGCACAAAATGGGCCCGTCAGCGACCTGGGGTAATTTACTCTTTTCCAGGATTTGAGCTTAGGAAGTGCACAGCCCGCGGTAGGTACCTCAGGTTCCTAACCCGTCCTCCAAACTTGACCTTCTCAGCCCCTCTGTTTGAATGATAAATACACAAACAAAAAGAGGGAAGAACTAAATTCGGAGAGCTTAGAATGCAGAATCCAGGGATTTCCCCATTAGGGAAAAATTCCTCTGGTTAAAAAAAATTAAAAAAGGGTAAATGAGGAACAAACACCGGTGGTATAAGACCGCAGGCCTGGTTACTTCATGAACCACTTGATCATTTAAAAGAGTCTTCAAAACAATACATAGGTGTGTGTATATATCCCTGACCCACCACCCAGAAGCACTTGTTCAATTTCTCTTTTCCTCAATTTATTGTAGGTTGTATTGTAAGTCATCTTCCTACAGAGTAATAAAATGTAAATGTGGGTTTTAGGTTTGCTAATGTTTCGGGTGGCTGAGCGTGAGTCCCCAGCTTGTTATGGGTGAGGGGCCTACGAAGAAGCTGTGAGAACTGAGTGGGAGGTGGAGAGGAGAAGGAAACAGAGTTCCCCATTGTTACAGTTTGAGGAAACTGGGATTTAGGACAGCATATGATTTGTTGTGCGCTGGAGACATCAGGGGACATCAGGGGTGATTCTATACAGTAACCATCAGGAGCACATTGGCTACAAAGGGGCTGAAAGCAGCGAACAGCTCTTAGGAAAATCGCTCCAGCCTCAGAGCAGAAAAGGAGGGGCTGCCTCACCTCCAAGGTAGGGGTGGGTGGGGCTGAGCTTGACTCTTGCTGAAAACCCCATGCAGAAAGGGGGAAGAGAGGGCAAAAGTGAAAGGCTGAGTACCCAGGCTGAGGTTCTCCTTGGAACACTGGGGAGCGGGACCCATGCTGAGGTTCTCCTTGGAATACTGGGGAGGGGGACCCATGCTGAGGTTCTCCTTGGAATACTGGGGAGGGGGACCCATGCTGAGGTTCTCCTTGGAATACTGAGGAGGGGGACCCATGCTGAGGTTCTCCTTGGAACACTGGGGAGGGGGACCCAGGCCAAGGTTCTCCTTGGAACACTGGGGAACAGGACCCAGGCCGAGGTTCTCCTTGGAACATTGTGGGACAGGACCCAGGCCGAGGTTCTCCTTGGAACATTGGGAACAGGACCCAAGCTGAAGTTCTCCTTGAAACATTAGAGAACAGGACCCAGGCCGAGGTTCTCCTTGGAACATTGGAGAACAGGACCCAGGCTGAGGTTCTCCTTGGAACAATGTGGGACAGGACCCAGGCCGAGGTTCTCCTTGGAACATTGGAGAACAGGGCCCAGGCTGAGGTTCTCCTTGGAACATTGGGAGCAGGACCCAGGCCGAGGTTCTCCTTGGAACATTGGAGAACAGGGCCCAGGCCGAGGTTCTCCTTGGAACATTGGAGAACAGGGCCCAGGCCGAGGTTCTCCTTGGAACATTGGGAACAGGACCCAGGCCGAGGTTCTCCTTGGAACATTGGAGAACAGGGCCCAGGCCGAGGTTCTCCTTGGAACATTGAGGGACAGGGCCCAGGCCGAGGTTCTCCTTGGAACATTGGGAACAGGACCCAGGCCGAGGTTCTCCTTGGAACATTGGAGAACAGGGCCCAGGCCGAGGTTCTCCTTGGAACATTGGGAACAGGACCCAGGCCGAGGTTCTCCTTGGAACATTGGAGAACAGGGCCCAGGCCGAGGTTCTCCTTGGAACATTGAGGGACAGGGCCCAGGCCGAGGTTCTCCTTGGAACATTGGAGAACAGGACCCAGGCCGAGGTTCTCCTTGGAACATTGTGGAGCAGGACCCAGACCGAGGCTCTCCTTGGAACATTGGAGAACAGGGCCCAGGCCGAGGTTCTCCTTGGAACATTGGAGAACAGGGCCCAGGCCGAGGTTCTCCTTGGAACATTGAGGGACAGGACCCAGGCCGAGGTTCTCCTTGGAACATTGAGGGACAGGACCCAGGCCGAGGTTCTCCTTGGAACATTGTGGAACAGGACCCAGGCCGAGGTTCCCTGTGGAACACTGTGACACAGGACACTGCAGGTCCTTTGGATGAGACCCATAGTTGCTCCAGCAGAATGCTGGGAGGTCATCTATGAGCTTATTTTCTTTTAAGCACATTTTTCAATTTAGAATGAAAGTCAGTGGTGAGAGAGGATTCATGTGTAGAAATCTGTTGAAAACCAAAATGATTTGGTAAAATAGAGTATCTTAAGCTCCAGGGTGAGATTCATCTGTAAAGGCTTCACAATTGAAGGTGACTCGAGTTTTTAATTTCTTGATAAAAATCCAACTATCCCTAGACTTTAATGGCAGGCTGGGCCTGGGGGTGACCGAGGAAAACGGGGGACACACCAGATGGAGGAAGGGAGGGAGGGCAAGGGACATGTGAGGATGCTTGGGGGGTTACAGAGGGGACCAGACGGAAGTGAAGACCAATGTGGGGGGAGAGCCTTTGGCCATGATAGGGAAGGAAGTGTTTAACAATAGTTAGAGCCTCCGCAAGCTTCAGTGAAGGTGATCTGATTCAAAGTAGTCTTAGCAGGTAGAAAGGCAGGCGTGAAGGGAGTCGGAGAACGGGTTTCTCTCAGTCTGCAGGTGCCTGAAGAGTTATAAAATAAATAGATCCTGGGAATCGAATGGTAACTATAGTTAATAATCCTGTATTGTATATTTGAAAGTTGCTAGGAGAGTAGATCTTAAAAGCTCTCATCACAAGAAAATATGTAACTATGTGTGGTATTGATATTAACTAAAGTTGTGGTAATCACTTTGCAATATGTACATATATACATTCATTAAGTTGTATACCTAAAACTAATATAATGTTATATGTCAATGATATCTCAATTTAAAAAAAAGAAAACAAAAGTTATGATTTCTGGCCCCAAGGATTTTGGCTGAAGGATTGACAACCTGTGTTCATCACATGCTGCACTATGTGAAGCAGGCATTTTGCCAAGTGTTTTACCCACATTCTCTCATTTCACCCTCAGCAACCCTACAAGCTTGGAGCTATCATTATCCCTCTTTTGTAGATGAGGAAACTGAGACCAGAGAAGGTAAATAGCTTGTTCAAGGTTACACACTTTAAGTGATGGAGCCTGGATTGAAGCTGAGTTCTTCCTGTTTGGACAATAGCATCTTGGTGATGGCCTGGGTGGGGACAGTTTTAGAATCGAGGTAAAGATGGAAATCAGACTATGGAGTCCTGAGGAGGAGGGAGCTGGACGGGAAATGAGACCCCGGGATCAAGTTATCCTCTGGGTGTTAACAACAAGGAGAGGGCAGGTGGGGGTCTGATGTGACATCCAGGTCAAGTGGGCCCACGTGAGTAGCCAGGGTTGGGGGCTGCAGGGAGGAGGGCTTCTCAGGAGTGTCTGGGCTCCTGATGGCTGAGACTACTCTTTGGAGAGCACGGGGTTCCAGAGACACTGGGTCCTGGGTCCCTAGTCTTGACCTTTAACTTGTCATCTACTCTTAGACATAAATGGCAACCCTCAGGCTGCAGCCATTCCCCTCTTTGTGGAAAGAGGAAGCAGCCCCAGAAGGTCCCCTTTACTTACTCTCTGTGGTGCGCAGAAGAGGAACCTGGATCTGATTTGGAGTTTTTGAAGAAATCTTTCTTTGATGTGGTCCAGTTCAACTTCTTCATTTGCTGGTCTGACAAGGACCATGGTGGCTGTGCCTCCTCAGGGACCGGCCAAGGGGACTCTCAGCTAGGGACCCCTGAGGGTGGTTTCCCAACCCTGGTTCTGTGACTCCTCCGGGTGTGCTCAGTCATCTCCAGGAAAAATTTAAATATTGAAATAAACTTACTGCAAAAATAGACCTAGGGAAAAAAAGATAAGCCTATACCAACCAGGGATTTTGGAGAAGGAAGGGGGAAAATAGAGCTATAATCTTTATTAGAGATGCCAGTATTCTACAAACGTGGCCAATTGGGTGGTGTCTAGATTCTAGACTTGGCGTTGTCATTTCCTCACTGTATGACTTGACACATATCTTTTAAAGTCAATGGAATAGGGCTAAAGATGGTTCTGCCAAGGTTGCTGAGAGGATTTAGCAAGATGGGTCCATGAATGTGCTTTGTAAGTGCTAAAGCACCACGCAGTGATGACAGAATTGGTGCTGCTTGGTCATCCCCTCAGGGCAGAAACTCCTACCGTCTTACCTGCATTCATTTTGCTTTCCTGACAGGCACCATTCAGGGTTACTCAATATCCATATTTCCTTCTCTGGGCCTTGATTTCCATATTAGTCAGGCTAAGCCAGGCCATGCTGCATTGGCAAATGAACCCCCAAGTGTCAGTGGCTTACCATGATCCAGCTTTATTTCTTGCTCTGGTGAGGATGGATAAAACCTCTTCCATCATATAGACATGCTGCCAGAGTGTATGGGCTATAAGATCCCCATGGCAGGGTACAGAGGGACGGAGAAGGTGTATCACCTCTTAACTGTTTGGGCCCAGAAGTGACACATGTCACCTAATAGCTTCCATGGGAAGAACTGTATACCACCCCTCCCCAATCAATCTCACTTTCCTTACTCTCTCCTAGACCCTTCCTTAAGCTATTTCCTCTCTGCTGCCCTTCCATGAGCTTCCAAGTCCCAGATAGTCCAACCTGTGAGGTACAGTGGCCTTCAAGTGATCCAAGACCAGTGCAAATGGTTCGCTTTCTGAAAGAAATGGGACCTGCCTCAAAGCAGGATGAAGAGCCGGAAGCCAGGCAGCTGGCAGTCCAGGACCCCCGGAACCACTGGGCCCTGGGGCCCCACCTCCCCTCTAGCATCTTTAGAGGAACCTAGGGATAAGTCTGAAGACCTTCTCTTTTGCTTTCTTCTATTGACCTATTGATCTGTTTACTGCTTACTTTCTTTCCCAGTCTGGTGAAAACCACATGAACTCAGGTGGTGAAGGATGGTCTATGTGTTTCAAAGGCATGCCAATCACTAGAAACTGGCATGGGTTCACCATGAAGAAGCCTCGATCCCCTTCCTTTTTTGATACAAAGTACAAATTGTCAGATCAGGAATATGCTGTAGATAGAATATCTTTACATTTCAGCGTGGACACTGGATAAGCTCTCGTGCACTCTCAGACGAGGATGGAAGGTGCTCAGCTGAAGCCGTTGACAGCATCGTGTCACATGCTGCTGGTCTGACCCTGTGCATACCCCAGCAGTGATAACTGGACTTGTGCCTTTTTCAGCAGACCCAGTAGCCACCTGGATTTCTGTTGTAGAGAGTCCTTATCATGGAAGCCTGGTCTACCGTCCTTTCTGGAAGAACATCAGGGCCTCGGAATATGGCTTTTTCTCAATCACCACTGAGTAGCCTGCCAGCCAGAAGATACACCTCGACTTGGTAAGGGAGCCCCGATTCTACGAGGATCTGCACCTGGGTGTAGGCTTTCCTGCTGCAGCTGTTTAAAATTCTTTGACATTCCTCCCATCCAAAGGTGGGATCTATGTCCCTCCCCTTGAATCTGATAGTCTTGTGACTGCTTTGATTAGTAGAGTACAGAGAAGGTGATTCTCTGTGACTATCGAGGCTTAGTCATAAGAAGCCCCACAATCTCTGCTGGCTTCTCTTAGAATACTCACTCTTGGAACCCAGCTGCCCAAGAGTGACACCCAAGCCACATGGAGAAGTTACATGTAGGTCTAAGTCGGGCAGTCCCAGCTGAGCCCAGCCATTGAGTCACCCCAATGCCAGTGCCACACATGTGAACCAAGAAGGCTCTAGATAACTTCATCCCCAACTACTCAGGTTCCCCACCCTCTTCTCTGTCATCTACCTTTCCCACCTGAAGCCCTGGACATAGTGGACATTCCTGCTGTACTCTGTCCAAATTCCTGGCTCAGAGAATCTGTGAGCATAGTAAAATGATCGGCATTTTCCATCACTGAGGTTGAGCTGGTTTATTCCATAGTGATAACTGGAAAACCACCTTGTCCTGCCTCTGGCGTGCTGATGAGTGAATCCGTGTCAACTTCTAGGAAGGAAGTCTTTGGTAGCAGGCTGCAGAACCCAAACAAACCCTATCCTAAATCTTAATGACAAAGACTTACAGGATGCCACAACAGAACAACAGCAGGTGGTTTGGAAATTGTGGTTGTCACAAAATGAGATAGATAGACATGACACTGGAGGATGAGGCCAACATCCTGAAAGGTCTCCACTGCGAAGACAACCCTAAAGCTTGCACTGAAGTCTTAGGATTCCAGTGCAGAAGAACAGGGTGAAGGGGGTGAGCCAATGAAGAGAGAGGTTGACTATCTCAAGCAAGAGGGAACACCCGGGTGAGAGAGGAGAGGGAGGATCATGTGGGTGGAGCACAGAGGATGAGGGGTGACTCAAGATGGGACTGGTCAGTGAGCAGGATCGTGTCAACAAGGGTCTCAGGGGCCACAGTAGGAAAGTTGTTAAGAGGCGCTGGGATCCTGGGATCAGATTGCTTGCGTCCTTGCCCTTGGTGTTGTAGAAGTCTAATGGATCTGGTCGTCTAGCATCTTGGGTTGCCAATTCTCCTAGTTAAGCCAAGACAGCTTCTAAACATACAATCCAGGGACCCAAGGGCAAAAATGGCTGGGCTTCCCAGGAATTTCCCAGGTTCTGTTGGGACCACCCCACCATCCGATCGGCCTACAGCACTGGACACAGTGTGCTGGAGTGACCCCATGGAAAGACCACTGGCCTGGGGGGTACTCCTGACTCCTCCCCTTGGTGAGCCATTGTGCTGGCGGTGCTCATGGATTATATTGTGGGTCCCCATCTTCCTTCAAGAAGTTCCTGAAAAGCATGGGGTGGGGAGAACCCTGGACTGGGGTGAGTTTCTGGGGCTGGCATGTCCGAGCCTGGTGGGATAGGAGCACTGTAGACGCTTCTTTTCATGCAGCGTCTAGTCTGGGTAAGGGACCCGTGAAGGGGTGCAGCCTGCCAGCACATGGCCCCAGGCAGCGAAGAGGAGGAGGGAGGGGACTATGGGTGCCAGGGAAGCACAGTGCAGGCCCAGCCTGTCCGCTTGCTCCTTCTCAGAGTTTATCAGGAGGCCATGCCATATCCAGACTCAGTTCTCCTCCAGGCCTGCATCCAGGCATACAGAAAAAACTAGAAACTAGCTGGCTAAGCAGGCCATGGCTGCGTGTACAAAGAGAGGCCCCCCTAACCTGCATCCTGTGCCCTCTGGATTTGTTTTTCCAGGGCCAGGAGGTGGAGTTGCTTTTGGAGACACCAAGCAAGGAGCATGAGGGCCTCTTTTGTCCCTTCAGTGCAGGAGACAGAGGCCCACACCGAGACTGCGAGCTGCCTGGTGCTCTCTCCCACCTTGGCTGCCACTCACGTGAGGCTCCTCCAAGCCGGCCTGTGCATGGCTGCCCACAGCCACGGCGCGCTTGTTGCTAGTGCCTGGGTGCTGGGAAGGTGGAAGAGACATGACTGTGGCTGCTCTTTGAACATTTGATGATAGCAGACTGAGAGTTTTTATAGCATCACCCAAATCGAATCCTCATAGTAATCCCCTGACATAGGTATTATTCCCATTTTGTAGATAAGGAAACTGAGACTCTAAGAGGTTAAGGGGCTTACCCAGGTCATACAGCTTGTTAGGGGCAGAGCAAGGACACAAACCCACAACTGCTTGACCCTAAACCCAGTGCTCATAACCAATACACTGGTGGTTATTTCAAAGGGAGTCATCAAACAGCAGGTGGAGACTCCCTGGGAACATGAAGCAGTTGGGGGTGGTCCTGAGCACTGTGGATCAGGGAGTGACCTCATGAGAGGGGAGATGTGCCCCACCCACTCACCCCTGCCTTCCCCACTTTCCACCCATGTCCTGTTGAGGGGCAGAGGCACTGTGGACACCTTTTTAAAAAAAATCCTCACCCAAGGATATTTTTACATTTATCTTCAGAGAGAGAGAGAGAGAGAGAGAGAGAAACCTTGATGTGAGAGAGACACAAAGACTGGTTGCCACCCGCACGACCCTGACCAGGGATGAACCGCAACTGAGGTACGTGCCCTTGGCCGGAATTGAACCCAGGACTCCCTGGTCTGCAGGCTGACTCTCTAACCGCTGAGCCAAACTGGCCAGGCACCATGGACACCTTTTGATAAGCTCTTAGGCATCATCCAACCACGACTAGGCCAGAGGTGCCTCCAGACCCCAGGACCACACCTCCCCTCCAGGTCCAGGCTGCTCCTGGCAGGAGGTAGAGACTGCGGCTCAGTCCTGGGAGGTCTGGGCCTGGGAAGAGGACAGCGGGTCTGACAGAGGACTGCAGAGGGCTGGGGTGGCCGAGGGAACACTGGGTGGTGGAGCCGCCAGCGGGACTTTCCCGTAATGAACGTGGCCCCGGGCATCGGCCTCTGCTGCGCAGAGCCCCACAGTGAGGGGCAGCCAGAGTTCGGGATCTGGCAGCTGAGGCACCTGCCTGGGACTCAAAGGTCCTGGTTCCCTCCAGGAATGAAGGAGCTTTTCTCTCCTAAACGGTGAGGCCTGACGTCCCCTCTCTTGGCAATGTGACTTTCTTCTCTTTCAAACACACAGTTTTAAGTTCCTCAGCGACCTTGTGGTCTGAGTATGAAGTCTCGGGTGTGGGCAGAGGTTTAAAGACACGTGAGGCGGGGGTGGGGACACTAACTCTGGGTTTGGGTGAAAGTTTGGGTGTGGAGGTGGATGGGGGAGGAACATGGAAGCTGCGGGGGAAGAAACTTTAGGTATTCTAGTCAGGAACACTGCAGGGTCCCCCCCCTAAAAAAAGGCATCAAGAAGCTCCTTACATACTGATAGTATAAGAACCGCAGAATCTACGTGGGGTGAGGAGCCCAGGGCATGCACTAACATGGCATTATGCTACCTTTGTACAGAAGAAGAGTGAAAGCCCTCGCCCTGGCCGGTTAGGCTCAGTGGTTAGAGCGTCGGCCTGCGGTCCAGAGAGACCCAGGCTCGGTTCCTGCTAAGGGCAGGTACCTCGGTTGCAGTTTGTTCCTGGCCCCAGTTGGGTTGTGCGGGTGGCAACTACTTGATCTTGATGTGTCCCTTTCACGTCGATGTTTCTCTCTCTCTCTTCCTCTCTCTCCCTCCCACTCTATCTGAACAACAACAACAAAAGAATGAAATCCCAGCAGGTGTGGCTCAGTGGAATGAGCGTTACCCCCTGGACTGAGAGTCCCCGTTCCAGTCCCTGTCAGGGCACATGCCCGGGTTGTGGGCTCGATTCCCGGTAGGGGGTGTGCAGGAGGCCGCCAATTGATGTTTCTCTCTCTCCTTTTCTCTCTCTCTCTGAAAAAAAAAAAAATCAATAAAAAACATATTTAAAAAAAGAATGGAAAAAGCAAATATCTATAATCATAATTCGCTTGTAATTACATAAAGAAATTCTGGAAGGGTATGTAAGAAATGAAGAAAGATAGGTATATGGGCCTAAGAACTGGACAGTTGGAGAAAAAGATATTATCACTTTTTGTTTTTATTTCTGACCATGAGATTGTGTTCCTTACCCTCCTGCCCCCAATGTCTTTTTTGAGTTTTGACCAAGAAAATCCCCCTCTGGCCCCAGCCGGTTTGGCTCAGCGGTTAGAGTGTTGGCCCGCGGTCCAGAGAGTCCCAGGTTCGGTTCCTGCTAAGGGCACGTACCTCGGTTGCAGTTTGTCCCTGGCCCTGCTTTGGGTTGTGCAGGAGGCAGCCACTCAATGTGTCCCTTTCACATCGATGTTTCTCTCTCTCTCTCTCACTTCCTCTCTCTCCCTCCCACTCTATCTGAACAAAAATGGAAAAATGTCCTCTGGTGAGGATAAAAAAAAAAATCCCCCTCTGGCTCTTAGATGACTTTCTGGGCCAGTGCTTATCATTTCCTACTCCTGTTCCTGCTGCATTTTTGCTGACATCCCTCACTGCTCCCTTTGCCTCTCTCACCTCAGCCGCTTCCTGGCCTCCTTGTCCAGAGCTTGCCCAGCCTCCGCTCTCCGCGGCCTTCCCTGGGGCGGGCGCAGGGCGCACAGTGTGGCCGCGGATCCCTTCCCTGGTCAGCATCTGCGCTCCACGCCCTGACTGCCCCACTGTCCCGGCGAAGGCGCGGCTGCCCCTGCCCTCCGCAAACCAGCGCACTGTCCAGTCATCTTCAGGACACCCTGGAATGTTCCGGTCTCTGCTCCTGCTCGGGCCTGCAGTTCTGTGGTCAGCGGCCATGGCCACGTGCAGCCCCTGCCACGGTCCTCGGGCCGCCCGTCCTCACCAGCTCTCTGGTTCTCCAGCTAGCTCCTGGTCCTTCCTCACCAGGCTAACTAACCTCATCCCCGTCGCTAATGTTACAACCCGGTCATCAGGGCTCCTTTGGAAACACCTCCAAGCATGTCTCTCTTAATGTTTGGAGCCTCCGTTTTATATGGAGCGGCTAAGTCCCCAGTGGACCGAGACCCGAGGCCATGCTGCCGCCTGGTTTCCCTCCGCCACTCTGCTTGGATTCCTGAGGGACGTCCTTCGCATCGTTTAGCGTTGTCATTTCACATCTTCTACAGGGCACTGTGCTTTGCAGTCTGCGGAGCACCATCCCCTTTATCTCCCTCCATCAGGCCTGCTCACTGTTGCTGTTTCCATTGGCTCGCGCGCAGCGTGGTCTTTATTTAGATGATCTGTATCATACCTGTGGGTTGATCTTGTAAGCAAGCCTTCCTACAGGTTTACTTGTGGGTTTCCTTTGAAAAGGTCAGTGTGAAACAGGAAATGTGACTAAGAAAATCTTCTTCCTCCATGAAGCCTCACTTCACTAACTGGAAAAAGGCCCCGTCCCCTCTCCCCGATACTTACTCATGGCCCAAACAGACACATTTCAAAAGAACGCATAGTTCCCAAAATGCTGCACTGAGCATACTAAGGCTCATGTGC